AGACGGAAGCTGGTGATGGTCAGGGCCGGCTGCTATACCAGAGCCAGAGGTGAGGGGATGAGAGGATTCCCCAGAGACAGAGTGGAGAGCAGACGGGCAGATGTACTGAAATACACTGATGAGGGGAGCAACAGGCGAGACAGAAGAGGTCTGCTGCGCCATGTGGGTCAGCTCCCTGGTTGGGGATTGAACTTGCGCTGCAGTGGCTGTAGATGTCTTCATAGTGCTGAGACTTAACCCCTTGGACCACCAGGGAGGCCCAATACCACTTTTTCTTAAGGACCACATTTTTAAAACATCACACCTACAGACCTTAACTCAATGCTATTACATATCTGTTCTGTGTTTACTGTTCCTTAAGAGCAAGGGGGTTATCCAAAATCATTTTGTCCCTTCACTACGTTGAACAGAGCTGAGCTTGTGGTGTCACAAAGGAGACTGTATTTGATCGGCCACCCTTCCCAGGTCAGTGTCTTGCTTTCATAACTACAGGTTCTCCTGTCGTGACCTAAAATGCCCTCCCTCTCCTTTCTAACTGGCCAGTCCCAGGTGCAGTGTGCTGTTCATTTTTGGCTCAAGTCAGACTTGAGCCAAAGTTACAGTGTCCTTCCACAGGACACTGAGGCCTTATTACTTTGGTGCAGACTCTGACCATGAATGTTGTGGGTGGCAGTGAGGGCAGAACCCCCAGCACCCATGTCTCAGAACCAGCTCTGTGCTTTTCCCGACATGGAACCCACAGACGTGTACTGAGTGGATGATTCAGTGAGCAAGTTCCAAGTCACGTCTCTCCCAGGCTCCTGGTTTGGGTATGAGTTGAAGCACTATATATAAAAAGTACCTCTAGGGCCCTCCCTGGTGGCACAGTGGGTTAAAACACAGCACTGCAAACTAGCAGCAGCCACTTCAGTGCCGGTTCAATCTCTGGCCCCGGAGGTGACCCACATGCCGTGGCAGACCTCTCCTGATCTGCCCTGACTTCATCGATATACCTGTTCTGCTCCCCACTCTGCCTCTGGTGAATCCTCTCACTGCTCCTGCACCTGTGGCCTATACCCCAGTTCTGTATGCATAAATAAAAAATAATAAAAAGTGCCTCTAGAGACTTCCTTTTTCTCATGATCATCACCAATTTCCTGTTAGATGTTAAGGCGGCTTTGCAACTGGATTGACACTTTTCTCAAGGAGAATGGAATTCTGGCCCTGTACTGCAGGGCCGAGGCTGGACATATTTCCTACATACCCTGTCTTCGTAAATGCCTCCCTTCCTTCTTTCCCTCCTCCCTCCACCCATGAGCCCAGGCCCGTCCTCTACTCCCCCGGCTGGACAGACATTTATGAGACCCAAGACCGAGCAGGCATCAAGACCTGTTCCTGCTTCTCTCTCCCCCAGAATCAGGATCGCTGCCCCAACCCCCTTCACCCTCATCTCCTGGGCCAGACTCAGATGTCTCTTGCCCTGTTTATGGGCTGTTGGGATTTTTCCAACAACCCGAAATGAATGTGGGAGGCCTCACAGGTAGTGCAGCCCGTCTCTGGGCTATAAACCCTGGCTGGGCTTTCATCTACTGTAGCTTAGGTCATAAACGAGCAGGAGGGCTTGGCGGGGGAAGCCAGCACCCAAGCCATTCCAGATTTCTTTTTTTACAAGAGAGGGGAAAGAAAGGCCCTGAAAAACATGTTCAAACTTTATGCCAAGCAAATTCATTTCCCTCCGGTAGGCTGTGCAAGGAGGCTCTGTCCTGCACTTCGCCACCAGCATGCAGATTTATGCTGCATTTGTGTCTAACTGGCCTCCAGGGAGGCTGACATTTGTGGTGGGAGACAGCGAATGGTGTTCCTTTCATCTCCGCAGAGGGGTGTCAGCTTAAATTATGAGGGAGCTCTCTGGCCTGCATCTGGGTGTGGGAGCCTCTGGCAACAAAAAGCGGCCACCCCCACTCCACTCCCATCTCTCCCTTTGCGGTTGGTTGGAAGGTTTCTCTTTATCTTCTACTCTCCAGAGCTCCTGCTGGTTCTGGGAGGAATATTCCAGTTCTTTCAGCACTTTCCTTTCTCTTGGATGGCTCAGTCCATGTATGCTCCAGGCACTCATGTTTCCATGGAGCAGTTGGGATGGGAGTGCAGCTGGTCTGCCCTTGCTGAAGGAGAGGCAGGGGCCTCAGTGAATGCCCAGGGACAGCTCAGAAACCCCCCAACCAAGAGTTAGAGGGTTCCTGTAGCCCTCATAGCTACCATAGCAGACGGAAGCTGGTGATGGTCAGGGCCGGCTGCTTGGCTCTTCACAGTGGGCCATAGCCCTGCACCTTGAGAGGGGTCCAAAGGCCCCTCCATTTCTGCATCTTTAGAGTGTCTCTTGCTCTGATCTGCCAGCTGCCCGGAATGCCACCTTTCTGTGGGCGGCATTTCCTGTTCTATGTGTTATTGGCTGAGGGAGGAAACCTCAAACCATGCTAGCCATCCACTCCCTGGTGTATCAGTGGGGCTCCCTCCCCTGAGTCAGGCCTGAAAGGACAAGGCACAGGATGTGTAGGTTTTGATGGAGAACAGGAGGTCAGAAGAGGTTTAGGGCAGGCGTCGGCCAACGGAGGTATGCAGCCCTGCCTGGTCTGGTGCCGCTTTTAAGACAGTTTTACGAAACACAGCTGTGCCCGTTTCCACTGTCTCTGTCACTTCCGCCTGCACGTCAGAGCTGGGTGGTTGCAATAGGTTTCGTTAGTTACATTATCCTAGTTGTCAGTTGCATCCAAGGGTGAGGAATGACTACAAAAGAATGAGATAGGAAATACCATTTTGTGACCACAACGGGTATAAGTAGAGAAGATGAATGAATTATTTTTTAAAACAGTCTGTACTTTGGATCTCACCCATTTGTTCCAGACCTCGGTTATTGTAGTTGCCTGCCATGCAGGAGAGCTGCATGATTCTTTGGGTGGGGGTCAGGGATCGGCTCCATTTCCACAGAAATGCCACCGAAGGCACCATTCATGCAGAGGTCCACCAGCAGAGAGAACTTCTGACCTCACTAAAGATGGGGTCTTGTGTCAAAGTAGTGAACATAGGGCCTACAAGGGTGAATAGTCACTGTGTCATCAATAGTTTTCCATTTCTTCTGCTGTGTCTCCTCCTGTGGGGTCTTCCTATTTTTTTCCCTGTGTCTTTTAGATTTTATAGATTATTTTATTTTACTTGTCAGTCTGAAACGTCCATCTAGAAAGATGCTTAAAGTCCCTTCATGCTGAGCTATGATTGAGATAGCTGAATCTCAGTTATTCCCCGGCAGAGTGGAGTCAGGGTGGCTTCATCACCAGGATTCTGCTTCCCCCCACCCCCCACTGTTGAGGGCCATGGGATGCAGGGGGAAAGATGTCTTAATGTCTGCTCAGAGCCTCCTGTGTAGCAGGACACTTGTAGAGTATCTCTGCTTGTAGAGTTGGCTGCTGTGCACATCACAGCACTGTTCCTGAACCACTGGTGGGAACTCTTACTGTCAGAGTGCAACAGTGAAAGGTGTCACTTGCAGCAGCCCTGACTCACTAAGAGGCCAGGGCTGGGGGGAGACAGAGGTCTGTTTGCTTCAAACCTTGTGAATTAGGCCCAAAGAGTCAGGTCATGCCTGTAAGAAGCTCACAGATTAATGTTCTTTCATGTTCAAACTGTATTTCAAACAGTATGGCAGCATTATCCTTTCAAGTAAAAATGAGCTATTTGACTTTTCTAGAGTCAGAAATTAAAACTCAACTAAAATCTTGACGAAAATGGTGTAGGCAGACGTGCGACCTTTAAAGAGAGGGGTGGATGAAGAGTAAGGCTGTGTAGCCCATATAGTGAGACCCTCAGTGCCAGAGGGAACCAGAGGTGGGGCATGGTTTGGGGGAAGCCCTTGGGGCAGTTTTCCACTGAGGAAAGAGGACAGTCACTCCCTGTCTAGCTCACTGTTTGTACAATCAATGTGAGTCACAGAAACACAAATGAATACAATTACTTTAGTAGTCTTTATTTTACAGACAAGCAAGCTTGACTACTGACTTTTATTTTCTGTCTGTTCTATTATCTGTGCCTGCAGGTCAGCTAATGCTGGTCCACTAAGACCTTCTGAGCTATTGTCCAGCTACTGGCAGTGGGCAGAACTTCAGAAATAGTGTCTAGGAAGTAATATGTCTCTTCTTCAGGTCCAGACTTGGCACACGGCATCTGAGACATAGTATTAGGAATGGGCTTGTGCTACTCCAAGCTTTATCGGTAAATACACATGAGTCTTCTCCACATGAGGTAGAATGTCCTATATCCCGACTTTGTAGGTAAGGAAGGTGAGCGTTAAGTGACTTTCCCAGGTCACACAACCAGAAAACATGGTGTCCCCAGATGTAGTGGTGGCCTTTCTGGTTCCTGTCTCTGGATTTTAGTAGCACCTTCTTGGCAACTTTCAAACCAGTACCCCACAGGTTGTTTCATTAGTATCAAAGGGCATCTTGGAAACAGGTGCCTTGTTGCAGAATAGCATGAAGCTCCAGGAAGTGGCTCAACATGTGATTTTCTGCTTCATTTAGGCAAAAGTGATGATGAAGAAAGTCTTTGCAAGTCAGCCCATGGGGCTGGGAAGGGAGCCCCTGAGGATGGCAAGGACCACAAGCGCCCCAAACGTCCCAGAACCATCTTGACAACCCAACAGAGGAGAGCATTCAAGGCCTCGTTTGAAGTTTCTTCCAAACCCTGCAGGAAGGTATGGGGAGAAGGGAGGAAAGCAACGTGACCCAACTGCTTTGGGTCTACCCTGTGCTCCTCTGGGAGTTGTGGGCACCTGGGCATCAGGGTGGTGGGGGAGGCTGTCAGAGCCTGTGTCGTGACTTTGAGCCTCTTTAGAGACTCCCAGGATCACTGAAGCTGTGGCCAGATTGTAATCAAATTTGTGTCTGCTTTTGTGCCCCCTGGGGAGAATGAGAGTACTTTCAGGGAGAGCAGTGGAAAGTCGAACAGGACCAGAGTGAGATGCTCTACTGGGATGTCAAAATAGAGTGACTTGTAGTATAGCATTGGGCACAGAGCATGACTTCTTGAGTTTAAATTATTTCTCTTGGAGTGATGATTTGGGAATTCATCGTGTTGGGCCTCAGACTTTCTGTTGCTGAATGATGTTCTGCTGTATGGATGTACGTGGTTTGTTTCTCTATTCACCTGCTGGTATTTGGGTGTTTCCAGTGTGAAGCTGCTACTTATAGGACTGTGACTGATATAACTGTAAAAAAAAAAAAAGAAAAGAAAAGAAAAAGCACAGTGGCTTATGAGTTGACAGTTCATTTCTCTCTTAGGTCACAGCCCCAAGGTGAGAAAATCAGGACTGCTGGGCAGGCCTGTCATCCATCACATGGGCCAAGGGGCAGCTTCAGTTACCATCCTTTTCCCCTGTCACAATGTGGTGGAAAAAGGGGAAGGAGAGCAGCTGCCTTTATAAGCATGTGCCTAGGGATTCTGAGCACCACGTTCTCCACTAATGTGCTGGCCAAAATTTCATCCCAGAGCTGCATGGTAACGGGCAGGGCACTGGAAAAGGAGTCTACCTGGGCAGGCAAGCCCTGCTGAAACCTGCGCATTCAGGTGCTAATAGGGGCCAGGAGAGCCTGGATGTTGGGAAGAATTTGCTATCTCCCACAAACTCCCACCCGCTATTGACTGCCTGTCACTGTCACTTTTGCAAGAAACACAAAAACAAAAAGTGTTTTTATTGAAATTCATGCAGAAAATACATTTAAAACTTCTAGTGTTGTCTTTCCTGCATTCCTACTTCATTGATCAGCGTTTGCTGTAATAATGGACACAGTGTTAGCGGTGCCCAGCAATTACTTTTTCCTGTCCTGGGATGTGGGCTGGGCTGAAACTCAGGCTCAGGTTCGCTCTACATGGCTGTCCTCCAAGGGTCCAGCATTGATAAGCAGTGGCTCCCAGGCATGCTGTTCACGAGGGTGGCACAAGCCCATGTGCCATGCAGGCAAGCCCGTGGAACACCTCCCCCTGGATCTCACGTACATCACACCCGCTCTCACTCATGGGCAGGGAGAGGCCTGGCCGCAGCCCGTGTGAGCGTCACCAGGACATGCACCCTGGTTCCCGTGAAGCAGGAGAGGGAAGGATGGACATGCTGAACACTCATACAGTCACGGCCTCTGACCCGTGAAAGGACTTACTACTGAGTGTCCACATGCTTGATTTTCCCTCCCTTTGATCACCTGGTGAGGGACTCTCTCTGGACCTGTAGGGAAGTGATGATGTGGTGTTGGGGATTGTGTGCTTTTGTAACAGTAACCAGCTCAATACAAGAGGCAGCTCCCGGTGCTTCCTCACAAATGCCCTGCCTCCTACTCCCAGATGCCAATTTTTTGCCCTACTTGTTTTCAAAGGTGAGGGAGACCTTGGCTGCAGAGACAGGGCTGAGTGTCCGTGTCGTCCAGGTGTGGTTCCAGAACCAGAGAGCCAAGGTAATTTGCATTTCTTTTTCTCTGTCCTGGTGTGGCTGGCTTCCCAAGATAACAGCAAGAGAACACTGTACTTGTGGGCAGGTTTCTAAGCTGAACTCACTGAATGAAGCAGTTTTCTGGATTCAGAAATTCTGCAATCAATAGTCATTTCAGCAACAGCAGCCTTGTGGGGTGGCAGGGAGAAGTGGGAGGGAGATGGGATCTTGGCTTTAGTGAAGTGGCTATATTTATTTTGCTAGTGGCCATGATTGTACATCTAGGTAACCATTTATGTGAATCAATAAATGTCTTTCTGTGCTTTTGGTGACAATGGGTTCTTGAATTAATATCTGTCTAATCTAGATACCAAAGTTGTTTCTTAATTCTTATATAAGTAATATATATATATAAATCAACCTTCACAGCACACAGACAACATCACCTGTCTCAGGTTGTCTTATTGTTTCTGGTTTCTGCCCAATCCTGTATTCCCTGTCAGGGTGGTTTACTTTTAACTCATTAATTTCCATACCTGCAAAAAAGCAGATGTCTTGTGGCCCTTTTCTCTGGAGCTGTCATCTTTACTGAACAATAAACAAATGCCTGATTGTCTGATTGTGATTGCTTAAGATAGCATTTTCTACTGAATTCCTCAAAACAGGGCCATTGATAGGAATTCAGTCATGGAAGGACTCCTGGCTCAGTAGGTTTGAGAGGCCCTGGAGTCTGTGGATTTATAAAGCCGATTAGTATGATCGAAGCTTTCAGAAATCTTGCAGTAAAGATTTTTTTATTTCCTGCATGTATACACATACACACACTCAAACATATTATATCTCATGGAACCCTAAGGTTCCACAGAACACAAATTTGAGAAACTGTGGGTTAAACTGGTCCCCTCAGGAAGTCTGTGTGTTAACAGGGTGCTTTGGAAGGCAGCTCCCACTTGGACTCCTGAACCCCATGGCAGGTGTCTCAAGCATGAGGTCAGCAGGTAGGGGAGAGAGCAGGGACAGCTGAGCTGCTCGGCTTGTTCTGCATCATGTGCTGTCCACAGCCTCACTGTCATCTGAGCAGGGCTGCAGACTCCATCTGAGACCTCACGTCTAACCATCAGAACATAAGCAGCAGGGTTTATTTGCTGAAAGGAAGTCCCTGTTCCTTCTAAGACAAGCCACACCACTGCCAGTCTGTCTTTCTAAATTCCATCGGCTGGTCACACGGAACTTGAGACTCTTTCTCGCCATGGCAGCTCCTTGTGAGCAAGAGCTAGGGAAGTGGCCACCTGCTTGACAAACAGGCCACTTCCCCGTGGCAGGACCCTGCTGCGGGGGCCCTGACCTCTAATCCTGTGGTCTTCTTACCAGATGAAGAAGCTGGCTCGGCGGCAGCAGCAACAGCAGCAAGACCAGCAGAATACCCAGAGGCTGAGTTCTGGTAAGCTCTGGTCCTTCTGGCGGTGGGGAGGTTTGGTTTGGAGGATGCTCCATGGGCCTCTCCCTGCTGTGCCACATGCGGAGCGCCATCAGCCTTCTCTCTTCCCCAGCTCAGACAAACGGTGGCAGCGGCACTGGGATGGAAGGGATCATGAACCCCTACACAGCTCTGCCCACCCCGCAGCAGCTCCTGGCCATCGAGCAGAGTGTCTACAGCTCAGACCCCTTCCGGCAGGGCCTCACCCCACCCCAGATGCCCGGAGACCACATGCACCCCTATGGTAAGAGCCTCTTGCACCTGCTCCTGTGGGCCTCATTCCCTCCCAGACACACCTGCGCTTTGTGTTGTGGCTTCTCACTGATGCTTCCAAGCAGAACCAGCGCCCTCCCCCCACCCATCCTGCTGGCACCACCTACGGAGGAAAGACCAACCGGTGTATTGATGAGGGCTGAGGGCATATTGCTTCTACTTCTTGCCAAAGCCCCTCATTTGCTAGTTTCACTAGGAAGCTGTGCTTTTACGATAAAGCTGTTTGTTATGGTCGAATTTCCTCAGTCTTTTATTGTATGTCAGGTTCCACAATGATGTGTTTTAGGCCATCTCACCTGTGATACAGGCAGAAAGTCTCAAGTAAGCAAACTTTGACTCAGAGAAAGAAAATATGTAAAAGCGCAGAAAGAACACTTCCTATTGGGGTTTTCCTACTACGGAGCTAGCGGGTGCCTGAATGGAATTCCTGAAATACAAACTGACTTGTGAGTGAAAAAATAGCCACACTCTTCACCCCACCCAGCTGGGGTTGATTTAAATGCCCAGCGCATGGGTAGCAGCCTCCCCTGCAAGCCTGGCTTGCAGATGGCAACACCCATTGTCCATCCATTGGGTGGACGAGCCCAGGCGTGAAGGACAGAAGTCCAGTGTCTGGACCAAACAGGGGTGGTACCTTTTTATTCAGAGAAGAGAAACGCCCTGTGAAATATACCCATCTGACCCACGTAGGCTGCAGTGAATGATCCCGATGGCTAAAAATGAAGTTTCATTCAGCAAACCTTCAAAGCCTTAGTCCAGTACATAAGTCTCAGCTCACAGATTCTGCCTAACAGTTTTTGGCTTTTGTGTTTTAAAAATTCTGTTTGTTACTAAGGTTACTCGACTCTTCCTACTAATTCTCACAGCAAGCACTGGCTAAGGCCTGGTCCTGCGTCAGCCTCATTCATTTCTCCCCACACATGTCAGACTCACATGGCTGTACAGTGAGGCTTTGCTTTACGGATGTGGCCCTACTGTGAGATGTGCTTCCTTGAGCGGTTTCATTGCTGTGTGGACTTCCTGGAGTGTGGTTTCTCACGCCTATGTGGTGAGGCTGCAGGCTGCATCTACTGGGATGTCCATGTACCTGTGGTAGTTGGGGATGGCCCCTCTTTGCTTCTAACCTCTGTATGAGCTAGGGGGAAATAGGGCGAGTGACTGTTTTTTTTTGCAAATTCTTAAATTTTCAGAGTCCCCGAGGTGTTACTCCATGAAGGACCCCTCTGATGGTTCCTTTAGTTTTGTGAACAGTGAAAGCCACGCGGCAAGGTTCACAAACTGCAGTCTTCCCCTCCCCCACTGACCTGAAGTGGTGGCTCCTGCGTGGACCTCGCGGCTCCAGCTGCTGTTTCCTGCTGTTGGCTGCGCCTCAAGGGTGTGCCCTCTCCCTGCCTAAACGATGTGTGTCATCCCTGGAGCTGCCGTGCCCAGCGCAGAGACTGCTGGTTTTGGACCATCCAGTCTTCGTGAGCCTCTTTGCAGCAGGTCTTGTAGGAGCCCGCCGTCTCTCCCGTCTGCTCTGCGGTGTTGGGTCTGCCGATACGTCCTGATATTGGCTCATGCTGCTCTCCACTGAGCATTTTGGTGGATCCCGGTGAACACTGTTACCACTTGTTGTACTTTAAACATGAGCTGTGCAAGGAGACTGGAAGTCTTTGGTGGACAGAGTTAGGCTTCCTCCTACTCTTCTATGCAGATTGTGTGTCTATAACCCCTGCCTCCCGCTACAGCACCACTGGAAGGTACCTCCTGGGGGCAAGGCCAGGACACACTGATCTCAGCTGAATTTCTAGCGCTCGAGTCAACCTTCCTTCAGACTGTCATGCCAATGTTCTGTCTCCATTTCAGGTGGCGAGCCCCTTTTCCATGACTTGGATAGCGACGACACCTCCCTCAGTAACCTGGGCGACTGTTTCCTAGCAACCTCGGAGGCCGGACCCCTGCAGTCCAGAGTGGGAAACCCCATTGACCACCTGTATTCAATGCAGAATTCTTACTTCACCTCTTGAGCCTTCCCTCAGTGCTTTGAAGCTCAGCTCCCATCTAAAATCATCATATTATGGGAGGGGTTGGCTGGCTACAGGATGGGGAGGCCAGGGAAGAGGTGGGTTAGGGAGGGAGTTTTGTCGGGGATGCTGTTGTATAATGATACGGTGTAGCTCGGCATTTCCAAAGACTGAATACATATGGATTGCATAGTTTAATGTTTCTGATAAAAGTCTTAGCATTAGGAATGAAGATGTGTTTATCATTAAGGACAGGGACTTTTAATATAGACATTCTCATGCAAGCTAGATGCCTAGAGACTCCTAACAACTTCCCACCCTTTTGGGGAAGCTCTTTTCAAGAGGTGCATATGCCTACCCATCTGTACACCCATAGACAGACAGACAGACAGATAGATGTGCGTGTGAGTGTGTAACCTTTCATACTTTATCATCAAAGTTTATTCCTAATTGTAACAGACACCAACTGTACAGCAAAAGTAACTTTATTTTCAGTGTGAACTATATTTAAGGAAATGCTTGATGCACTTAAGTTATAAAATGAGATAATTTACTTTTATAAACTTTATTTTTAGTTTGAAGAGATTTGTCGGCAGGGCAGGGAGGGCTGTTCCACCTGGCTTCGAGCTTTGAGTGTGTGAGTTCATTGTTTTCAGAGAGCGTCATTGAGGTCTGGAAAGCGACTCTATGTGGCTGACACTGTTCTCTCCTGGATTTGTGCTCTCTTTGGATTTGAATCACTGGGCTTGGTGGGACAAATAATCCCTGGTCATGTGCTTTGAGAACACCAAGCCTAGACACTCTGACTTTCTTTTGCAACCTTATGTTGGCGGTTGGGCAGCTCTAGGAAAGCTAACTCTGCTTGTGAACTTAAGCATCTGCAAGTGTAGGATGGGACTGATGGTATGTACCTACCTCACTGAGGGGCTAGAAAGGCCTAATTCACTCCCAAGACTCATGAGCAGGGCTGAGATGAATACCCAGTACTTGTTTAAAATGCAACCAGCTCTGTCACTTGGCAAACAAGGACCCCAGGAGCTATAGGGCTGGACAGTTCCTGCACCTTTAGCCCCGAGGGCAACTCTGCAGCCTGCCCTGGTCCCTTCTGAAAAGCCTGAGCTGCTAATACCAGCTCCAGGCAGCTGGGGGTTGTGCTAGAGTCTCTCACTGGGGAAGAGGCTGTGACTGAGAGGGTGGAGGAGGGCACTGTAGTGTTTTGAACCAGGGGATGGCAAGCTACAGCCTGCAGGCCTGTGTCTTATGGTCTGGCAGCTAAAAATGGTTTTTACATTTTTCAAGGGATGTTACAAAGAAAGGAAGAAGAAGAATATGCAATGGACTATGTGGACTGTACGTGACCTAGAAAGCCTGAAATGCTCACTCTCTGTGCTGTCTGGCTCTTTACAGAAATGTTTGCTGGCCCATGTTCTAGGGGGTGTGTTGTGAAGCAGCATCTTGTTCCAGGAGGCAGAGGGCTCCAGGCAGAAACCCAAGGCTGGGGCTTGCACCTGGCTTCTTTGACCCTGAGCACAGAAGACCCCGCTGCCATTGTACACAGGACATTTCCACACCCTGTCCTTTAATCGTGGTGCTAGGGTGGGCTCCTTCTGTGCTGGGAGACTCCCTGGGACCCCAATGAACTGATGGGGGAGACAGAGGGTCAACTTGGACTCTAATGAGGGGGCCAGCCAGGCTTGTTCTCACCTCCAGGAACATGGATCATCAGAGCCTTGGACACAGCGACTGGTCCCTGTCACTATGGTTGAATCATCTATGTTGTGTGGGTTTTGTGCTCTTGTTCATAATTTATGCAGACCACCGGGAAACCCAACAGTCTGGGGATCATCCAGGTGTCATGGGCCTCTGCAAGCTATTGCCTCAAGACCAGCTGGAGAATGTAGCAGATACTGTGTGAAAACGACTAGAGACCCTTATTCCACTCCTCAATGGCAAACCAAGTTGAAATTAAAAACCTCGTAAGAATGAGCTGTTGTTTATTGAGGGGCCAGGGTGGTGGGCAAGGACTCAGGGGTGTTTTGTCCATGGGGGTCAAACTTATGGCAAAACTTTCAGTGAAGGGAAAGTGTGACAACAGCAGAGAGTAAGGAGAAAGGGGCCTTCTGTGTAGATTACCAGTCCCCGACTGCAGGGCCCCCTGACAGCCCTGAGAGCATGCCACCGCACCCTCAAATTCACCTGAGGCTGAGCAGTTTTCCATACACAGAAGGGAACGTTTCTAGGAAATCAGAGCGGTCAGGAGGCATCTTCACCTAGGCCTGGAGGCACACATCCAGCCAGCAAGGGGAAGTGCCTCCCCTGACAGGTTTCCCGAAGCTCACAATACAGGGTTATTGTTCTGACTGTGGAGAAAAAGAGTAAGGGGACAGTGAGAGCCCCAGGCACACCCAAAGGTGGTATTGTCATTTGTATGTTTCCTTACCCACCTGTAATTGTGCAAACCCTTACCCCCTCTGGCTCACCCACCCCCTCTTAGAAGCTGTTCCTGCCTTTCAAGGCCTCAAGGGGGAGGTGGCGTCATGAGGCCACAGTGGTGGGAGACATCCCTGAGCCTGTACCTCTGCCCAGGCTCCCAGAGGGAGGCAAAGACACAGACCTCTGCCCCAAGGCGGCCTCGGTGACCATCCCTTCTTCCTCAGCATCAGCCTAGCTGTTGCTTTCTTGAAGAAGCCTGCGGAGTTGGCATGGTGCCTATGTGGAGTACCTGGCAGGTGCTTCCCACTGCAACAAAGAAACCCTTCAATTTCTATTTTTGCTCACAAAGATCTGGAAGCGAGCTGTCTTTCATGTACCATCAAGGGTTCCCCTGGAAAACAGTCACAAAGTTCTGACCCAAGGGAGAAGCAGTCAGGCTCCAGGAGGCTTCTCTAGCCATCTGTTGTCAACGTCAGTTAAGATGCTAGAGCTGAGCTAACAGAGACCAGATTTGTAGATGGAGTATTTTCAGAATGAGAGGGCTTTGACTTGATCCGATATCAATCGAATATGGGAAACAAGTGGAATATGTGAATTCCAAATGCAAAGACAAAATAAAATTTGAATTGCAAGTGAAATCAAACTATTTTTTCTCTCCCATCCTCACGTACACATATATTCACAAAATCAAACCTGGGATACAAATGGACATGATAGTACGGGTTGGGGGAAAAAAGTACACTTAATTCTGGAAAATAAAACAACAAAAGAAAAACTGGCTATTAGATCCGAATCAAAATAAGCCAATACTTGTTTTCCTGAATCCCTGTGTTTGCCGTGTTGTAATGTTGTTCTCCATGATAAAAAGGCGATAGAAGGCAGGGGATTATTGGGGTTTTGGTGGTGGGCATGGAGTGATCACATACATTTGTAGAGTTGTGAGCACAATTTTTTAAAAATGTGACATTTATAAAACACATGCAATTATTGAAGACATTATTGCAGACAACCATACCAAACATACCCTCAGTCCTGCTATTACTGAGCGCCAACCTAAGTCTCTCCCACCTGTATAGATCCATTCCACCCATGCCTCCCAGCTGTAGGATATCCTGCACACGCCTCAGCCCATGGGCCGTGTTATCTCCAGCACTGGTGGTTGAGGGACAGATGTGAATGCCTGAAAACTCTCGTAAGCTGGAAAAGTCTTCATTGGGGTAAAATGCTACTTCAGGATTCACTTTAATTCTCAAAGAACAGCTAGAAATTTTCTTCCTTTAATAAAAAAATCCCAGACACATGCCTAAAACATATACAGTATTGTAAACAATGTTACCTCAATAAACAACACCATTTAAAAAAGGGCAGCGAACAGCTATCTTCAGGGCTAAACAATATCTTGAGATGTTTTTGCTAAAAATAGAGTTCCCCTCTGCATGGGTGGTATAGACATTGACGATTCCCAGGCCTTGAGGTTTACGCCATATTTGAAGTTCCCTACAAGTGCAACCTTGAGCAACCTTGAGTCTCCATTTCTACATCTGTAAAATGGGACTGGCAGCGCCTGTCTGAGAAGCTGGTGGTAGTTCGCATCAAAGGAAACAATTAGGGCAGATTTTATAGAATAGGAAGTGCTGTTCAAATAGGAGAGCTTCTTAATATCTTGGCTCTGGAGTCAGGCAACAGGCCCTTTGGGGAGAAAGCACTGTGTGAGCCACGGGGCTGCCCTGCCGCTGTCTTCTTCCTCTCAGGGGAAGAGATAGATGGGGGTTGGGAGTTGGGGGGTGGGGTGGGATGTGCCTTGGAGATCACAGCCCAGCTCCTGTCATTACGTCACTCCTTCACTCTCCGCTTGGAGCCCCAAGTGACTAGAAAAGGAAAGAGGGAGACTACCTGTGATTTGTGTGAAAAGGACCACCTGAGGGCTGGGCAGCTGACCAATTTATCTGACCTGTTAGCTCCTATTGCTTGATTTCATCATTCATTTTAGCGCCTTCAATAACCATCGACTAAACACCTAGAATATGCTAGGTTTTGAGAAGGATCAGAGTCAAGGTGAGCAGAAAGAAACATTGTCCTGACCCTCAAGGAGATTGCAGCTTAGGTAGTGGATGGAATTAGCCGTTAACCAAAAATGCTAATAAATGGCAGCCTCTGAAGAGCCACAGAGGAAAAGAATTACATCTGGGAGAGAGTAGGATGGCAGGAGCTGTGGCCTAGTCAGGAAGGTTGGAGAAAGTTTCTCAAGCTGTGTTTCTGTTTCTCCTTTCTGTGAGGTCTTGCTGTCATTGCCATGGGTGGAACAAATCTGATAAATGAAAGCCCTTCAAGGTGTTCACAGATAAGGTCTAACATTGCTTCTCTCTCATCAAACATCTCACAGGCAAATAGATGTTCTATGAGACATAAGCAACTTTATGAGATGGATGAGTTACTCAAAGAGTATCTGACAAAGCAAGAGGTCTCCAGAATCAAGGGGCCGGCCAGCTGTGGATGCCTGCCCTCAATCAACACGTGTTTATTAAGCCCAGGGGTAGGCGTGGCTGATTTCTGGCCCTCTGGTCTGCATTCACTCTACCGATAACATCACCCTGATTTCCTCTATTGACCTTCCTCTACTGTGTGCAGACTTTGTGGGGCTGTACATCAAGGTGACTTGGGTGTCTGTACTCACGGAGCAGGGACA